GGTTTAAGTTTTAGACTGCACTGAGCAGGAACCGTCAGCATAGAAAGGGAGGCCGCAGCATTTCCCCCGTTAGGCACCTGCGTGTGGGTCAGGGAGGGCCGGCATCTCTCTTTCCTGGCTCCGCGCATCTGCGTGACACTGATCCAGCACATGCTTTGTCGAACATTTGCTAGACCTGGGCCTGAGCCCACCTCATGCTTCATGCCCAGAACTGCTTCTGGTCCTGGGCATAACGTGGGATAAAGTGGTTGGGTGCCGAAGATGCTTTGATGGGCGCCCCAGCTTCGCTGCCCTTGTCTTGTGGCTGATAGAGGTCATGGCCTCACCAGAACCCCATGTTCCCTCTTTCTGGGTGGTGAGCTCTCTCCTCAGTCAGAACCAACAGGTGCTTCTGTCAGATCGCCAAGAGCTGTCTGTCTCCCAGTCCGTTTCTCCTTCCTCGTCGTGGCACGCTACTCCGTGGCACGCTACTCCGTGGGCTTTCCCTGATCAGAAAGTCTGTGCTTGCTCAGGAGCTGAGAGCTTACGAGAGCGATCCCCAGCCTCTCTCGTCGCCCTCCCCACGCCCACCTCCGATGGCCTGCTGTGGCAGAGGCTGGGGGTCCTGGGCTCGCTCGCTGGGCTCCCACGAGGCCATGCTGGACAGCACTGTCTCCGAGGCTTCAGTCACCCCTCGGTCTCCAGTGTGGCTAATGAGGCTACCGCCTTTCTAGTCATTCCCACGTCCTCCGCACCCAGCTGCCACCCACCCTGTCGCTCCTGCCTGGCAAGAGGCCTGTGACCTGTGGCTGACGGTCATGTTCCTCTCTCCCCGGACTAATTGGCCCCCCTGGTTGGGGAACGATCCTCTGGGGCCACTGCCCAGGGCTGCAGAAGCTGTTTCCAGGCACGTGGCCAGCCTGTATTCCTCTCCTTTCAACCTTCAGTGGGGTCCCTAGACCCAAAGAGGACCTCTGGATGCCTTCACCTGCATCAGGACCCACAGTGCACTGGAACCACAGGCCTGCTGGCCTCGCCCTCCCTTCCTACTCGTACCCCATCCCAAGGTGACTGGTTAGTGTCTGTAGTTGTAAAGGCAACCGCCGCTTCCTGAGTGTGCGGCCCTGAGCTGAGTGCCCTGTGCCGCAGCTGGAGACAGCCTGGGAGGAGACTGAACAGGGAGAGGAGCCAGGGAGAGGAACACTCCAGGCTGAGGTTCCGGGGACCTGGACCCCAGGGAGCCAACGTGGAGGCGAGCATGGTTGGCTTGGAGGTAGACTCCTTTCTCTCCGCTCTGAAGGGCTGGTGCAGGGCCCAGCCACTGGAGGATCCTTGTGAGCGGCTGTCACAACAGGGCTGCCCTTGGCCTGTGCTCAGCAGGGCACGTGAGCCAAGCTGTCAGCAGAAGCTTCCATTGACTCCACTCCAGGTAGGTGTCCTCTGTCAGCTGTGCCCCTGCTGCTTCCCGGCCCGAGTCTCCTTCCACTGCCATCACAGGCAGCCCGCAGCCGCTCAGGCCCGCGGCTCTGCCGGAAACACTGCCAAGGTCGAGCAGCCACTGGTAAACTCGGAGAGGCAGCTGAGGGAGCAGACATGCCGCCTGTGCTGGACGGAGCCCGGCTGCTGCCCCAACCGCTGCAGTGCACCCCCAGAGCCAACGAAGGCGAAACCCAGCAATTTCTGTCAGCATGACGGCTGCCCACCCTCTCACCTGGTATCGTCGACATGCATTGTCTTAGCTGTCTGTCAAGTGTCTGTGCCTGGGGAGGGCGCCTTCCTCCGTTTGGTAAACTGCCACGTGATAGCTCCGTGATATGTAAATCACAATCATTAGAAGACAGCCGCAAATTATGTGACATCTAGATGGAAGGGGAAAGTAGTACTGTTTGTTTTGGGTTTTTCTTTTTTCATATAGATAATTCCCTAGAATTTGGATCAAAAGTGGCATCTGAGGAAAAGAGCGTGTCCTCGCCTGCCGGGCATGCTGGGCACAAACCCTGTTTGCATCTGAGGTCGGGTGTCACAAAGACCGGGCTCCCGGACCAACCCACATGGTGGTGGGGGGGATCCTAGGCGTGGACTCTTGCCGGGATGCTTCTGAAAACCATGAATTGGTCAAGAGGAAGGACATGATCTCATGCCGCACTGTGGACGTGGCACAGTCGTTAACTCGGTGTTACTCGCCAAGCCTCTCTCTCAAAACATCCAGGACCAGGAGTTCTAGAACTTGGCCCAGGCCAGCCCGGCCTCCCTTCAGATGGCCTCGGACGTCGTCAAGTTCTTCCTCTTGGGGGTTGCTTGGTGGAAGTTGCACGGGGCACAGGACCAGAGGCAGCGTTCCGGCCTGGCTGCGTGCTCCCAAGCCACAATTTAACATCGCCCCTGTGCCAGGCTTTGTCCCGCACAGGTCTCCTCACACCAGCCTGTGGGTTGTGGGTGCTGCTTTTAGCCTCACAGCACAGACAGGAAACGGAGGCCCCGATCCAGGATGTGCTGGAGGTTGGATGTGAGGGCCAGGGCACCCTACCACCCTCCAAGTGAGAGTGGACGCAGGCCAGGGGCAGGTGCTAGCCACCCCATCTCCCAGGTCTCCTGCTTCTTCCTCCTCTCCCCGGCCCGCATACCTCCTGGTCTTTATTCGTTGTGCTTCTAAGTCTTTCAGATCCATTTCCTTCTGTGTCTCCTCACGGAAGCCTCTCTCATCCAAACTCGCCTCCCTTCTGTGTCTACTCTGATGTCGCAATGACGTTTCTATGTGCACAGCCTGCTCCCAGTCTCAGCCACGTCCCACTCATGTTGCACTGACCCTGGGCCTCCTGGTCCCGACCCTTCCCAGGCCAGCCCATTGACCAGTCTATTTCTTTGTTCAGAACCATCCGCATCCCCACACTGAGCATTGAGGTCAAGGCCCCACACACTCTACAGTTGGAGTCTTGGGACAACTGGTTGTTCGTGACAGATAGTCACCATGAGCAAGTGTGCACAGCAAGGCAGGCAGGGCAAGTCCCTGGGCTTGGGCTGATGCTCTCTTCCATCTGATGCACTCAGAGCCCCCAACAGCTCAGGGCTCGCATCCAACCTGGGAGTTTGCTGGCAAAGAAAGGGTGCTTTCCCAGCAGTGCCTCTGACTCAGATCGCGGGCCCATCTCAAATCGTCACCATGGCCAGGAATGTGCTTGGTTAGAAACTGACAAGACAGCACCGAACAACAGGATGTAACTCACAAAGGCACCCTGGTGGCACGGTGGCTAATCACTTAGCTGTTAACCAAAAGGTCGGCAGTTTGAACCCACCAGCTGCTCCGTGGGAGAAGGACGCAAGGCCTGCTGCTGGCAGATTTACAGCCTCGGAGACCCCGTGGGCAGCTGTGCAGCAGAATGGTCAGCAGTGGGTTTCAGATGTCAACAGCTTCTGTGGCCTGTGGGGTGTGTCCGGTGCTACCTGTGAGGATGGGTGCACAGAACAAAGGAGAGGCAGGCAGAGTAAGTGCCGGGGTGGTCCAGAAATGCAGAAGGTGGCCCTTGGTTGGTTGGAAGCTTGGGCAGAGCAGAAAAAATTCAGGAGAGAATCCCTAGGTTGAGTGGCCGGTCAGTCCATTCTAGCCCCCAGCATCTCCGGGTGTGTCAGAATAAAGCGGTGCTTAGTCGGGTGTCAGAAGCCACTCGCCAGGCCTGAGATGCCTCTCGGTGGAGTTCCCGTGCCAGACTGGTGGTTAGCCGTTTGCCTCATGGGGGTGGCAGGGGGCAGGCAGCTGAAAAGCTAAAGGCCTCCTCCTTCCAGGGCCCTCAGAAGAACCATCTGTGTTGGTGGGCCTGGAAGAGTTGGCTCTCACTCTCCCTCGCAGTGGATCGGGACATCTGCAGTCATTTTTATTACTCATGGAAGCTCCTCTTGCTGTCTTTTCACCAGAGCTGCAGCCGTTACCATAGCAACGTTGAAAGCATCTTGAGATATTTTGGTACCACGAGTTTGCTACTTCCTGCAAACTTCATTTCTGCGTATAAGATAGCAGAAACGAGCTTTACTATATAATACTGTTTCTCTTGTATCTCTCTCCTCTGTTAAAGTTACAAGCCTTGGTGCGATTTGATCCCTGCAATTTGAACCCCTCCCCTGGTCTGTGGAAAGAAAATTTGTCTCAGAGCTTAAATTCTGAGCACGGCGTTGACCCAAGGCTACACCTGACGTCCGCTTTTGAGTCCAGAGATTCAGTCTCCTTTGAGTGCTTTGAGAACACTGACCGGCAATGGGTTTAAACGTGAGCTGCTGGGACTTCCCTCCCACACCGGGAGGGGCCGTTCCTTCCTCAAGGACTTGCCTGGGCCTGCTGTTGGTAGAAATTGGGGTACGAAGGTGGCCGGAGGCCCCAGACCCACTCCCACAGACTTTCTTAATCTGCTGTGGTATGGGTATCCCAAACACAGTCCCTTCTGCTCCTGCCGGCCCCCAGGCACTGGGGGTCCCCTGGTGGACCACCAGCCATGGTGTCCTGACCCAGCCCTTTTGCTCTCCGCCTTCTCGAAGGAGCCAAGTCACAGGAGCCTTTTGGACACTGTTAGGGCCTGCAGCTGAGGGTCTCCCTCACCTGGTGATTTCCCTCCATCTTGGCTTTGTCTCTTTTAAGATCACTGCCATCGAGGGGATGCCGACTCATGGCAACCCTATAGGACAGGGTAGAACTGCCCCTGTGAGTTTCTGAGACTGTCACTCTTTACGGGAGTCGGAAGGCTCTTCTCTCTCCCGATAAATGGCTGATGGTTTTGAAGTGCTGACCGTACGGTCAGGGTCTTTGCACCCTTAGAAGGAGGAGGCATAAATACAGAGAAGCATTCAACCCATGGGACACCTAACACAGCTCTGGACCTGTTTGTTGAGTGCTGAAAGGACGCGACTGCGCCTTGGGATCTTGTGGGTGGTGGGCGTTGTTGTCATCCTTGTCCTCTGTGGGGAGGGACACTGTTGGTGATGGAGTCGTTTGGCCCAAAAGCGAGGTGCAGAAATCTGTGTGTGTGTATCTGCAGGGCCTGGACAGCTTCCCGGTGAAGGAGAAGTTCTTCTCAGACAGCCAGGAGCCACCAGGGCCCTTCCCCGTGCCGTACGACCTGCCTCCAGAACTTTACAGCAATAAAGGTGAGCCACGGGCCTGGGGAGGAGGGCAGGTGGGCCGGAGAGACAGTGGGTCTCCCCTTGGGACCTGGCTCGAGAGGCTCTGGAACACTGGTCTGCCCCGACTGGGGTCCTGCAGCCATGGTTCCCAAGCGCATGGGGCTCGGGACCCCTCGCCCTCCAAGGAGTTTATTGACAGGAGGTGGCACAGTGGTTAAAGCACTTGGCTGCCCACCGAAAGCTGAGCAATTGGAATGTGCCAGCCCCTTCTCCTCAGTGTGACCCTCTAGAGCAGTGGTTCTCAACCTTCCTCATGCCACCACCCTTCCATACAGTTCCTCGTGGTGGTGATCCCCCCCCCCCTTAACATTATTTTCATTGCAACTTCATAACTGTCATTTTGCTACTGTAATGAATTGGGCGACCCCTGTGAAATGGTCATTCAACACCACCACCCCCATCGTGACCCACAGGTTGAGAACCGCTGCTCTAGGGCAGCTAAAAGTGTCCCCTGAGTTTCACAGACCATAACTCTTTACAGTGGTTTTGAACTGCTAACCTTCTGGATTGTAGGCCAAGGCATTACCACTACACCACTAGAGCTCCTCTCCTCTCACTATGCGTTAGAATCTACCCCATGGTAGTAGATGCATCCTAGAAGTTAAAACCAGGAAATGTTTAAATACTTAATGATTTTAAAGCAGCAATAGTGAATCTATCTCCTGGTGATGTAAATAACATCTTTTTAAGACTGTTCACACACTCAAAAAAGTGGAAAGTTGCCTGGCAGGCGGGGCCCCTCTCCTGCTGGGCCCAATCACCAAGCTGGCTCTTGCACTCAGCCCCCTGGGGTCACTTGTCTCACCCTTGAGCTAACGGAAAGCCAACCGGGCAGGCAGTGACTTCGTGCTGTGGGACACTACCACAGACCCACTAAAAGGGAGGCCACACTTCGAAAACCACCATGCAGCCACTTTCCGAAGGGCAGTGGCTGAGCAGCACAGTTCTTTCCGTGTTTGAAAGTCCACAGAAGGTGCACGGCGGGTCGGGCATCCCCGAGGAAGGCTGGACAGCTGGTGCTTTGAGCAGCAGCCCTTCCTCCTGGGGGACTGACCCGCCTCCCAGGCTGCCCCTCAGGTTTTATCAGCCTTGAGATGTCCATTTCTGAGGTGACTCCCGCTGACCAAACTCACCCAGAGCGAGAGGTACAGTCCAGGCCCACGCACTGCCGCCAAGCCCATGCCGACTCATGGCCTGTGGGACAGAGTAGAACTCCCTAGGGTTTCTGGAGCTTTACGGGAGCAGACAGCCTCATCTTTTTCCCTCGGAGCAGCTGGAAGTTTGAACTGTCGACCGTGCAGTTAGCAGCCCGACGCTCAGCACCACCAGGACACAGTGTATTGATCCAGATGCCACGTGCTCACATTGGCTCAGCCAGGGAGAGACCCGCCCATGTGGGTCACCAGATTACAGTGCGCAGTTCGCTGAAAAAGTGCTGAAGCTGAACCACGGAGCTTGTTTATTGCTTGGGAATTTCATGGCCGCACACCCCATTTATACCCCAAATCTCCAGCTCCCTGATGGGCATCCTTGCCCATGGGGGTCTGGATCTTCCTTATTTGATGTTGGATGGGGCCTCACTCACTCACTCTGGACTTATTCACATGAACTAAACCCACCTACTCTGAGAGGCCCAGTTCTTAGACCCACCCAACACAGCCAATCCTAACTGCCATCTTGTCAAATATCGCAAATCCACTATGGTGATGGGAGGTTCCAGGGGCTTTTTTGGTTCCTTTTTACCCCTTCTTTCTGGGTTGTGTACGTGAGAGAGAGAGAGAGAGCAGGGGACACAGCCATTCTTTCTCTGCCTTTCTCTTGAGTCCTCTGAAGCTGGTCGCTTTAAGCACATTCATTTCTTCAGGAGCCAAAGGCACGTGGGGTGGTTTACCAGAATGTCAACCCAACCAAAACAGCACCAAACAAGAAGACGAACAGGAACCAGGGTGTGTGTCCTCGTCAAGTGTACACTTTACCAAGTGACCTCCTGTCTGCACCGCAAGGAAGCTAGGCGTGCCTGCCCCACAGTGTTGGCGTCAGGTGCTCAGCAGTCTCCATCAGAGCCAGCTGATTACCTAGAGCAGCTGTCCGGTGTGTAGTCCAGTTCCTGGCACAGAGTAGACACATGACACCAGTTGCCATCCAGTCAGTCACTCCGACTCACAGTGACCCCCGTGCCCGAGTGGAGCTTTGGGTTCCCGAGGGTTTCCAGTGGCCGGTTCGTCAGAGCAGTCACCTGGCCTCTCGTCCAAGGTGCCTGAGTGGATTGGACAGTCTACCTTGTGGAACAGTCCCTGGTACTGCTCATTGTTGATGCTGCCCAGGCACCCACCAAACCAAACCAGACTCCCTGCCACCGAGTGGCTTCCAACCACAGCCACCCTAGAGGACCGGGCAGAACTCTCCTTGTCCGTTTCTGAGACTGCAACCCTTTACAGGAGTAGAAGGCCTTGTCCTTCTTCCATGGGGTAACTGGAAGTTTCCAACGGCTAACTCTGCGATTAGCAGCCCACGGAGTAACCACGAAGCCTGCAACGTTCCTTTAGGGACTCCACAGAACCAACAGGGCTAGCCCCTTTCTCTCCCCCTGGCTGACAGGCTGGCGATGAAAGAAGTCTAAGGCTTCCACACCAAGGGCCAGTCCCTAAACGTGCCCGCCATCATAAGACCGGGACTCATGCCCCGCCCCCGCCCTCTCCTTTTCCATCCTACTTTCTGTTGCTGCGACCCGACCCGCTTCTCCCTCCTCCTTTGTGCTCCAGTGTTTCCCTGCATAAATGTCTTGGACGGGACTCACTGTGATTACCTTAGACCCGCCCTTCACCTTCGTGCCTTGGAAGGACAGAGTAAGAACGCAGAATGTGGAACTGGAAGCACGGCCCGGCAGTTCCCGTAGAAAGAGTATTCCTGAGAATGTAGCACCGAGAGGTGGGTGGCGGGGACCCCAGACTCCGCTGTGATACTTCTCTAACTGGCCAGCACGCCGAAGGCTGGGCATCCCTGGGTGTCCCTTTCTTAGGTGATTATTTCCTTTGAGAGAAGAATGGTGATTTTTTTTTTATCACTACCATTTTCCCTTCCATGCAACATTGTTCTGTGGCGTGCAGTTACACCAATGCCAGCCATTCATACTGCACCAGCTCCAGTGAGTCATGTCAGCTTGTCTACATGGGCATCTTTGCCAAGTTGTAGAAAAGCGAGTGGTTCTGAACCTTCCACAAGTCCTTCATTTCTCCAAGTGATGTTCGAACCACTGGAGCCCGTGGGAGAGCTTGCTCAGGATGTCTGACATCAGGAGGTTAGACAGAGATTAGCAAAGGCCTGCGAAACAGTGAGCAAAGCTACAATCGGCACACAACAGTGAGCACAGTTACTTACAGTCATTGCACGACAGTGAGCACCGTTACAGTCATTGCACGACAGCAGTTACGGTCATTGCACAACAGTGAGCACCGTTACGGTCACTGCACAGCAGTGAGCACAGTTAGGATCATTACACAGCAGTGAGCACAGTTACAGTCACTGCACAACAGTGAGCACAGTTACGGTCACTGCACTGCAGTGAGCACAGTTATGGTCACTGCACAACAGTGAGCACAGTTACGGTCATTGCACAACAGTGAGCACAGTTACGGTCATTGCACAACAGTGAGCACAGTTACGGTCATTACACAGCAGTGAGCACAGTTACGGTCACTGCACAACAGTGAGCACAGTTAGGATCATTACACAGCAGTGAGCACTGTTACGGTCACTGCACAACAGTGAGCACAGTTATGGTCACTGCACAACAGTGAGCACAGTTACGGTCACTGCACAGCAGTGAGCACAGTTAGGATCATTACACAGCAGTGAGCACAGTTACGGTCACTG